CGTTAGATCCGTGGTCGAGAGCAATGTAACCAAGGCCACGGGTCTCAGTCGCCGGAGCGATGCACGACATTGTGTTGGCAGTGAGCTGTCTAATGCTGGCCGCGGCCAGTTCCATCAACCGCTTCATGGTGCATCGAGCTAATGACATCTCGCTCACAGCCGCGTGGCAGAAGTTTGGCTATGACCAGCAAGGGCCCCACCCAGCATTTGCCGTATGCTGCGTCGAGAAGCAAAGACGCTCACGACTGGAACCGAGTCCACGTGTCCCTCCAGACACGAGGACGATGACGACGTCCATGCTTTTGCACGTCCTCGGGAATTCGTCTCTGCCATCACGTCTCGTGTAAAATGGGATAATCGCTGGGGCAAAGTACGTCCAATGTAGCGTGTGCGGTGCCAGCGACGTCTGTAGAAGCTGGGAAAAGCCCATCCGCTGCCATGTCTCGTGTGGGGCAATGGGCCGTCACTGGTTTTGCGCAAAATATTCGATTGATCCCAAGAAGGCCTCGCTGCTGCAGAGGCCATGTCACCTCTCTTACTTCATCACTTTTGCAATTGACACTGACCAGCAGCATGAACAACCAACCCCTTCCGACCCTCGAGTTTGTCAAGACCGGCTTCCTCTTCAAGCGTGGGGCGGGCGGCCTCTTTGGGCGCAAGAACTGGAAGCCGCGCTACTTTGAGCTCACCGACTCGACTTTGCGCTACTACAGCTACCAGAAGGGCAAGAAAAAGGGCGAGGTGCGCCTTGACGGCATTGGGCGCGACGCCATTGAGGTCATGCCGGCCGACTCTAAGAAGACTGGGACGTCCAAGTCGACGATCTGGCGCATTGCTGTCCAGACGCCCAAGCGTCGACTGCTTCTCGCTGCGTCGACCGAGTACGAAATGAACGAGTGGATTTACGCGCTATCGCGCGTCGTCAAGGGCGGCCTCAAGCACCGGCACTCGGACATGACCAACTACAACCCAAGCAAGCGCACGGACATTGCTGCGCGCGCCGAATCCTTCTAGCTCAACTTGATATTTATGAACAACTAATGTGATGTATTCCTCTTGTGATTTCTGCTTACTGTTAGAGAACGCAACGACGGGGAACTCGGAACATAAGATCCGTAGATTCGATGCTTGGTCGGGATCATGCGAATTTTCATGCTGTCGGCGACATGGCGGAGCTCGTGGCTCAGGATTATCGCGCTGCGGACACTCGTTCTGCGTCGCTGTCCCAGTAGGTGATACTGGGCTTGCCAGCGCAGGGACCTGGCTCGGGTCATTACGCAAGTGCTCGTAAATATTCGCTTGATGGCGTTGGACCGTTGGATGGAGTTGGTGCCGATGTTGGTAGCACAGCTGCAATGGCAACAATCCAGCGCCGCGTTTGGGGACCCCCCAAAAAGGATCGAAATCATCACTGTTTTTGTATGCTCCAAAACACGCAACATCAAGCTGCTTCAATGGGGCAATGGACTTGGCCGTTCCGAGATGCACGGCAAGCTTTCGCTGCATTGGCCTGTCTGTACATACACGTACATCAGTAGTACTTGGCAGTCGCATCGTTGGCGCCAGCGCACAATAATAAACTCAGACACCGTCATTTCACCTGGGCAACCATCGACGCTACGCATAGCTACCTCGTTCGTGCTTGTGGGGCCAAAACACACCACGCTATCGAACCCTTGTACAGTAAAACAACCTTGTGGATAATGTGCACGCACAAGACGACTTTGTTGGCAGCGTCCATGGTCGTTGCTCGTGTCACCGGCATTGCGGCGGTGGGGTGAAAAGTTGCGTGCCACCAGGCAAGATCATCCGGATAACGCAATTCCCATGGGTCCCCCTACGCGAGACATCCACACGGATTTTAAATTTTACGACAGCAATCCGCAGCAGCAATCACCGCCGGATCCATTCAGCTCACTGGTCAATTTGCCGCACACGAGCATGTCCTTTGTCAAGTCGGGGTACCTCTTGAAGGAAGGGTCGGGCCAAGGGCTCTTCCAGAAGAAGAACTGGAAGCGCCGGTACTTTGAGCTCACGTCCAGCACGCTGCGCTACTCGGTGCTCGAACAAGATGCCAAGGCGCGAGGGCAAATCAACCTCGATGGGCTCTCGGGCAAGGCGATCGAAACGCTGGCGCCGGAGACGGGTGCTGACGCGTCGCTACCAACGTCGCAGTGGCGCTTCGTTGTAGCCACGCACGACCGACGCCTCGTCATTGCAACGTCGAGCGAGCAAGAGATGCGCGACTGGGTCGACGCGCTCTTGCGCGTTCTACACCAAGAGCCGCGCTTCGACACGACACCGCGGTCACGGCCGACGCTATCACAGAACGAACTCCACAAGTACCCGTTCGCCAAGCCCGCCGCATATGGCAGCTTGCCCATCGTCAAGCTCGCGCTGACCAAGATCGACGTCGCAGCGTAGCCGACGGCGGCGGTCTGCGATACGAATGACGCGTGTTGCCACTGGTAGCCAACGCGCGTCGCTCTACTAATAATTTACTGCTTTTTGAGACTTCCTCGCAGCGTTGGCATGACGACGAAGAGTGCAATATATATATGAACGTGTTTCGCGTTATCTTCATAATTGCACAGAGACTTCGCATACGTAGAGACTAGCAATCTCCTTCTTCTTCATTCGCTCGCCGGGCCGTGGCTGCGCGCAAGAGTGCAATGTGAGGATATGGCTTTCAATTGTCGACTGGCATCGCACATCGCAATGTCTATATTGCTATTGTACATAAGAACGTAGTGCAAGGTCGCTTGCATCGATCGACTTGCTTCTCACGGTCGTGCCACCGCAGTAACTCTATGGTAACCATGATAACAACGAGTACAAAGTTTGGCGCATGGGCAATCGGCGTCTTGGAAAATGTTGAGTCGGAACCCAACACGCAACGCGGTTCAGAAGACACAATTTCTCGTCGTGCGGGTGCTGGTCCCATGAATGCAGCAAAGTCGTCTTGCCCCATTTTGCACTTTGCACTTCGTCCCGAAATGCTGATCCACAAAGGCGTCCTCTTCAAGCGCGGGTCGGGCCACGGCCTCTTTCAGCGCACAAATTGGAAGCCGCGGTATTTCGAGCTCACCGAGACGCATCTCTCGTACTATAACCACCAAGGCGGCGCATTGCGCGGCCACATTGATGTTGCCGCTGTCGACAGCATCGAAATGATGCCAGTCGACGCGGTCAAGACCGGGTCGTCGGCGTCGACCAACTGGCGCCTCGGCGTGTGCACACCTACACGGCGGCTACTGCTCGCCGCCAACTCGGAGGCCGACATGCGAGCGTGGGCAGATGCATTCGTACGCGCGGCGGCCGCGCTCCAGCGCCACCACGACAGAGGAAAAGACACCGATCGCTATGTACTACGCAATGCGTAAACCAAGAACAGCTCGATTGCCGTATGCTAATGCGAGGATGACTGCTCGTACCGGTAGCTGCATTCAGATCTGCTACGCAGAGCTCAGATGAGGCGTCATTTTGGTGCTCGGCAGTGCACGGACGGGCGGCGACGGTGCGTCCTACTACGTTGTTGATCTTGTTCTGGTATGCGTCTGGGCGCGCATGCATCCGGAGGTCCTTTCTGAGCGCGTTGTGTGCTTGGTGCTCTCACCATCGTAATGTATCCGCAGCGCGATCCAGCGTGCAGAAGAAAGGACAGTGTATTATACAGAGGACGGAGCAGCGGCCACTGGATCCGCACGACCACGAGGCCTGCGAGAACCAATGTCCACTACATGCAGATGCTCTTGACGCGTCCCGGTGGTTTCCTGGCAACGTATCGGGTGCGAGATTCTTGGACATCATTATAGGAGGCAGGGCAATCCTACTAGCGAATCCGACTGCAGTATAATACCAATCGAAAGAAAGGCGGACAGGCCAATGTTGAAGATAACCACCACTGCAATCTGGACCGCCTCAGATGCAATTGTGCGATTATCCCACGCCCGCGCGCTGGCAAGGACGGGAGTGATTACTACAAGGTGTCATCGCTTGGCATGCTGCCTTCGTTGACGATCGCAAGATGCGAGTCGTCGCCGTTGGAGAGGAATCTGCTCCCATGGCGCCTTCGGATCTCGTAACCAGACGCCCAGATTCTGGTTGCCGTTCGAGATTTGGGCGTGGACGAGGAGTTTAGAGCCACACATGCACTGGATTCGCCGAATCCTAGCAAGTGGACCGGCGATCAGAGCTCGTGGCAATACTAGCCGTCCATAGGACCCGGTCCGCTGCAAAAAACCACCCACCCTTCGTTCGTCTTTGGTTTAAAACATTTGCAGACAACTCGTAACTTGTATACGACGACGCCGACTGTGCGTCATGGACAGGCCCCGAGTGCGGCTTCTGCACGCATGCTGGCGGAGGAAGCCAGGAATCCGAGCAGTGACGCGGCGCGACCTCGTGTTACGCGCAAATGCACTTCAACTTCTGTATGGTTATAGGGCCCTCCCCTATTTTTTCGGTACCTCATTTGGTTTCCTAGGTACCATAAAAATAGAATACCAATACCTCATTAGCGCCAATGGGTACCCCGGGGTGGGCCAACGTTTCTGCTGGCGGGACGCCACACGTGTGTTAGCGTCGTCAAAAAATTGCCGAGAGTCGGAGCCGATTTGTCGTGTGCGCTCCCGCTCCATGATCCAGTTTGCAATTTGCCAGTTCGAGTTAATATGGTAGCCACGGTCAAGACGGGCGTCCTCTTCAAGAAGGGCTCGGGCATCGGCCTCTTCAGTCGGAAGAACTGGAAGCCGCGCTACTTTGAACTCACGTCGAGCCACCTCAGCTACTACGACGAGCAGGGCGGGAAGCTCAAGGGTGCGCTGCCCCTCGCGTCGCTGGCAGCACATGACATTGAAATCATGCCCTGCGACGGCCGCAAGACGGGCAAATCGGCCTCGACCAACTGGCGCATCTGCCTCAACACCAACGGCCGCCGCTTCTTCTTCGCGGCCGCGACCGAAGACGAAATGTACGAGTGGGTCCAGGCCCTCTTGTTCGTCATTGCGACGTGCAAGACGCACAAGATGCAAACGTGTGCCAGCGGCCTCTCATCCCAGATCCACCCACTCCATGGCCGCGTCTCCCACGCCAAAACAGCTCCGATCGGAGGAGCGCTCTACTAGAGACATCGCGCGACCTCTCTATGTCTGTGACGTCTATTTATCCTTAAGTCAACACAATCGAACGTATTTAACTCTCTACCAACCTTGTGGCGCACCGACATCGCTGCGCACGCTGTACAGCGTGCTGGGGAGCGACCTTGGTAACGACGGCACCGGTGTAGTTGGCTGCGTGTTATTGTCGATGAGCAGTCGAGAACGGTCAATGGTACCTGGGTTCATGCCTCTTACAACCCGACACGGAGATCACGAATGAAATTCAGCTAACCTATTCTTTGCAGTCGGTTGGTGTCCTATGACGGCTACTGCCTCTCGATGCAGGAGTAGTGTGCGACAGAGCCACTCCCTACCTGGTCGTAGCAATAGCCTGCCCACTGATCATGTAACACGCAACGACTACGACCTTGCAGCTACACCCGCCACCGTCGCCCACAACCGACAACCTAATCGTGGTTAGTCGACTGTCGGCCACGACGAGGCTGTCACGTGGGAGTATCACGGCCACTCGACCAAGTCGACGTTGCCATTCAAGCAAGTCAACGTTGCACGTCTAGATTCTCTTTGTCGAAATTTGAGTTTCAGTTAAGCGAGGATACTGGTTGTGGTCACCCCCTGTCACACGACACCGATCAACGCACGAAGAAGCAGAATTTGGATCAGTTTTGAATTTGCCCGATGCCGATCAAGTCGGGCGTGCTCTTTAAACGTGGCGCCGGCGGCCTCTTCCAGCGCAAGAACTGGAAGCCGCGCTACTTTGAGCTTTCGGACCATGCGCTGCGCTACTATACGCACCAAGGCGGCGCGTGCAAAGGACAGGTGTGCCTCGACGACCTCGACTCGAGTGCGCTCGAGCTCATGCCGGTCGACCTCCCGAAGACAGGATCCTCGGCGTCGACGGGCTGGCGCATTGCGATCCAAACACCGACGCGCCGCTTTGTCCTGGCGGCGGCCACGCACCGCGAAATGACCGAGTGGATGGCCGCGCTCTTGACGATCTTGGCGTCGCATGCCAAACCCACCAAGGCGACTCGGAAATCGAGTTGCTTTTGCCCGCGCCCGATCGTTGCCTTGCGATGAGCGACAAATTATACCTATTTAACTATCTATCGATTTGTTAGTCGTCGATCCATTGGCGACAATTCGACGTTTCTGAGTTGAGATTTCCACATTTGTCTACTTGCACATTGCAGATCACAGCTGTTCGAGATCGATTCATCAATTGTCGAAATTCAGTAGCAAGGGTCATCGCACGTGGTATGCTATTGCAGGTCAGGGCTAGGGCTCACGGCCGTGATGCGCTGAATAGGGTTGTTTGAGTAACGTAAAATGGCGGGACGGACGTCTGCCTCTGAAGCCTATCATAGCTTGCTGGCAACAGCTTGCCAGATCACCGAGCTTGCCACACCGAGCGATGACGTAGACCAATGGGCAGCGAGATGGCTGTGAGGGCTCGTGTCGGGCTCTTGGCGGCGGGACATGGGCAAGCGTCTGCTCGGATCTTTGCCCCGGATGTCCTTTCTGTCGCACCGTGTCCTTGACAGTTTAAAAACACGCAACTTGCACCGACGATCATGCAAAATGGCGAGGCCTGTGGGAACCTACCGAGTCGATACGCAAATATTAGCATGGGCTTTCTCGCGATAACGCAAATATCGAGTATAACGCAATCGAGTGAGGTATCGTTCGTTGGTCTGGCTCCCTCCACCTTTACGGTGGTGGATCTGACCGACACGGTCGGTGCCTCGCACGACCACTCGACTGCCGCAACGACTATGCTTGCTTGCACAACACGCTCTACTGCACTAGCTACTCTACTAACATACGTTAGCAAGAAGATTGCTTGCAAAAATGATGCTAAAGTTGTGCAATGCGGCTTGACAAGCGAAAATTGCGTGCAAATAGCCCACGTCGCAGGCCGGACCAAGTTTTTTTCCCCGCCCGTGTAATGTCGTTCGACGCATTTTCATTGGTCAAAACTCGCCTGTTGTGTCCAATGGCATCTTGAGGCCATGCCATATTTGGATTTGCACAGACAATGGCAGCGACCGGCCGCGTCAACAAGCACGGCGAGCCCGTGGTGAAGGCCGGCGTGCTCTTCAAGAAGGGCTCTGGCGGCGGCCTCCTCAAGCGCAAGAACTGGAAGCCGCGGTACTTTGAGCTCACGCAGAACGCGCTGCGGTACTTTACCTTCCAGGACGGCGAGGTCAAGGGCGAGATCATGCTCAAGACGTGTGGCGAAGACGTGCTCGAGATCATGCCGGCCGACTCGATGAAGACAGGCGGGTCGGCCTCGACGATCTGGCGCATTGCGATCAACGCGCCGTCGCGCCGGCTCCTCATTGCCGCGGGCACCGAGCACGAGATGAACGACTGGGTCGACGCGCTTCTCGCAGTCTTCCACGCCAACACGACGGGCACCGACGTCTTCCAGCAGGCGCGCGGCAGCCTCGCGGCCAAGGAGCTCGACTTTGCCTCGATGCCCCACATCAAAAAGTCGATGGCGTCACCGAGCCGGTCGAGCGGTTCGAGCGGTAGTAGCATGTTTGTGCGCCCGTCCCAGACGTACTACGTCGAGCAAGAGGTCACACGCGCGCCGCCATCGTACGTCGAAGAAGAGATCTCCCGACCCATGCCCAAGGCGTCCTCGACTCCGCCGTCGTCGCCGCCCACGTCGATGTACGTGCCGACGCCCGAGCCCATCTTGTATGCGCCCACGCACCCCGAACACATTGTCCACCACGAAGCGCCGCCCACGCCCATCATCACACCCGTGATCACGCCCGTCACGACCGCGGCGCCGCCAGCGCCCATCATCACGCCCGTCACGACCGCGGCGCCGCCAACGCCCGTCACGACCGAAGCGCGCAAGAGCGAGAAGGGTCCGAACTTTGATCCATCGGGCGAATACGCCTTTTAGTCGAAAGCAGCCATCATAATATAGATAAACCCGCGATAGGATACTTGGATAGTATTTGCTTGGTATCCTATCTGATGTCGAGGGCACCGGCGAGGACGGCGGCAACGACCGCCGACGGCGGGAAGGCAACCGTGTCCCGGAGCTCGATAGACGCCAAATTGTCGTACGCAAGCGTCGTCGCGGCGCAGGTTGGCGTGAGGCAACGCTCGGACGTGGCATTGAGTGTATGAAAGGCCTTCTGCCCGTGCCTACAGCATGGACCATGAGGACCTGACTTTTCATATAGGAATGTACCAGGGAATGGAGTCGACGAGGCGCTTGCTGCCGCGGCCGTGTGCGAACACCACGCGCAGCTGCGCATCGAGGAGCGAGCCGAGAGACGCTGGCAGTGCGGTCCCTGATGACGGTGGTGACTCGTCGTTACAGGCCTAGACGAGCTTTGTTCGAGCGGCCATGACGACGCTGCCACGTACCCACGGCCGCAGCGCTGCCTCCATGAGGATAAGACCTTCGAGAGGCATAAACAGCGATGTCGTTGCAAAGTTGCGGTCGACGATCGCATGGCCGAGCGCCGCAGCAAGGCGAGCATCGTCGCTCGCGAGCCAGAGCTACAGATTGAGAGGGTGGGCTCAAGTGGTATGTATGAGTTAGTGGTGGTATCGTACCGGCGCGTGCGTGCGCTGCGGATGCGCGACGAGCCACTGCTGCAAGAAGGCGTGCGCTTCGGTGACCGCCGACGCATTATGCAGGTGCAGCCACAGCGCAGCATGCAACGTCGACGGCGTTGCGCACGGTGTGTGGGCACCCGATGAGAGGTAGACGACGAGCGGCGCCGTCGAGGAGACGCTCGTCGGAGCAGCATCGAGCGAGAGCAGCGGCGCGTCGGGCGACGTCGATGTCCTGGCACCATGATCATGAAGCGCATGAGGAATAGATTCCGTCGTACCAAACGAGGATGTTGGGCCCGAGGGCATCGTCGAGCATGGCCTCCTTGACCGAGCCCCAGACAAAGAGGATGACAATCAGAAGGAAGGCCGCGAGCGGCCAGCGGTCGCGCAAGGTCGGCGCCGACGACGGCAAGAGCGGCTGGCGAGCGTCCATCAAAAGTGCAACTGTCGAGCGGCACGGTATCCGGATGCGCAGAAAAGCCAGCATACCGGTACGTTGGTGATGCGATCGCCGGCGCCGACAGCTCGTTTGGAGCTCGTGTCGACGCCTCGTGGGGTCAAGCACTGGCCAACGGCGCACCTTCGCAGCGCTTCTTCCGATCAAGACGCAACGATTCGAGCAGTTTCAAGAGCTCGAAAACACCACCGATGACAAGGTCGAATGCCCCGTCGCCGACATCTCGCTCTTCAACGTGGTTGGCACGGATGGCATCTCGTCACCGGCTCAAGCTGCGGACCGCGGATTTGGTCTGCCGTCTGTGGCCTTGAGCCAGTGTTGTGCTGCAGAGGTGCGCCGTTGGCATTAACCCACGGCCGTTGGCCAGTGCTTGACCCCACGAGGCGTCGAGAAGTGATACAAAGACCAGTCTGCGCAGGCGTTAGCACGACCTCCGCGCGCTGCAGCCGGCGCTGTGCGTCATCAATCTCCAGGGCCGGTATCGTGCCAATGAAGCATATTGCGCCAGTAAAAGCGTTGGAGATCGAATTCATGCATGGATTCGCATGCATTTGAGCTCGACAATAGTGATGCGGTCACCTCGTTGGGCCTAGTAGATCACTGCATAAGTACTTGCATTACTTAGACGGTCGCGACCTTGCAGTTGCTTGCACTTGATTCTTTTGGTGGGCCATTTGCCTCAGCTTTTACCCCAGCGTGGTGCTTCCGCGAAAGGACTTTCGGCTGAGTCGCACTGCTATCAACTTTGGACCCGCTGCATCGTTTGTGACTGGCACTGATAGCCAAAGGTCGATCTCAAATGCGCCGTTGCGTGCGAAAAGTTGTCCAGGCGACCCACGATGACGTGGCGCAATGAGCGGGCTACAAAACGCCAATTTAATGCATAGAAAGATGAAGATTGAATTTAAATTTGAATTGAAATGTGAGGAATGGCATACCCCAGCCTCCGATATGTTTGCAGCCTCTTCCCTCGGTTTAATGATATTTGCTTACAAATTATGGTCTCGCGCACGGCAATCCTATGTTTATAGAGAGGCCATAAGTCAGTATCTCCAGGGAGCCAGCACGTGGTTAGACATTCGTGCAGGTGTGCTGGTACCGCGAGAGCTGGCCGCGAATTCATGATCGGCAGCTGTAGATGACCGCGCCGACGCCCGACTCAGCGCCCACAATCAAGTACCGTCATCTAGTTGCAAGTTCCCGCCTTCGGTACCTCAGTGAAGCTCGACGCCGTGGAATTCGCGTATCCAAGTACATACTAATGGCAGGTGAATGTTTTATTCCAAACATTGAAATGTCAATACAAAAAGAGAATACATGTAGCGAAATACGCTTTTAAAATACCAACTCGATATCGAGACATGGAGGTTCTATCAGGATAGAAACACCCAACCAAACCACCGCATCCCACCAAGGAACCACACCCTACCGACCCAATCTGCCGTAAGCTAGCTCCCATGTTTTGACAGGCGCATGAACTAGGCTTTACCTATCAATGAATAACTCTTGCAACCAGCGTCGCGAGCTTGCTTTGTGCAGGCAGCTCGTACCCCGTCGGCGGTGTCGGCTCCAGTGGCGTGGGTTTAGCCGCTGGCGAGATCTGCAAATATACGTTTATGGAGGTTCGACGTGGATTCCACAAAACGCGATCTTGCACAGTTTCGGATTTCCATCGTGTAGCAACCCATCCATGGGCATCTCAATGCGCAGCGCAAGCCTGCCGACGTACCCGGGCGAGCTCAGCGTCGACTTTTGCAGCCTCCAGGTAGCCGCCGCCGCCGCACCTCGAGCGCTAACCTCGGCGTAGGCCGACACGCTCCAGCGGTACGTCGACTACCACCAGCTGCCGCTGCCATCGCCTGCGACCAAAGACGACCTTGCGATCCGCGTCGCCACGTACGCGCTTCTTGCTATCGCCCAAGGCCTCATGCCTCTCTGTGATGTAGCCATTTCAGCGAGACGGTCCCCATGTTTGAGGACGAGAAGGCGACCATCATGTCCTTTTTGACCTACGTACGTTGCGCAGCGGAATGGACGCCTCCCGATGATCATTGCATGCAATTTAGATCCGCGAAGGCCCGCGCGACGCGGCCCGTCGCAGCCGCATCAAGGCCCTTGGCGACGCCAAGCGGCCACGGGCAGGTACTCCCGACGACGCCATGACGTCGGGCGAAGATACCTCGAACGACAGCCTTCGGCCAAGTAAGAAGGCAAAGCGCAAGGAAAAGCGATATTGCATCTGCGACGGCGAGAGCTTTGGCGCGATGATCGCGTGCGACAACAATGCATGCAGCGACCGCTCCAACTGGTATCACAT